AAAGAAGGTGTAGATCCAAGATGGTGGAATGTAGCACCAAGCAGTTTGGGAAATTAGCTGATTGCTATCTTTCACGTTGTGTTTCAGACAAGATTTGTTCGTTTGTACCGTTTATTTGTAAAAACAACTGTTTCTTGTCTTTATGTAACTTGTGTGAATAATTGCACGCTAGAGTTATTTATGGAAAATGATTTATTTAACTTGCAGCAAGAGTGATTGACTTTGTAATGTTTGTCTGTTACAGTTTACGATGGCTAAAGTGATGGCAGTGGTCAGAGGCCACTCTTCAATAAGTAAAAAGAGAAGTTTGGTTATTGGAGCGTCGTTGTCTGGCTGTCTAGCCTGCTGAAAAATGGAGAAAACTCAGGGCGAGGAGAGCACAGTAAAGAACAAAGCGCAGCGGGCCGCAACCATAAGGATATCTTCAGCACATCACGCATGAGCCTACAGTCAGGTAAAGCAGATGACATGGAGAACAAGGATAATGCAAGCAATACAGACACAAGTTCTAAGTCTTCACGCTCATCTAAGTCCAAACGTTCATCCACAGGTTCTGCAGCATTAAAATCACGTGCTAAAGCAGAGGCTGCACGTGCTCGGTTGGTGTTTTCCATAATGAAGCAGAAAACTGAGCTTGAGGCTAATTTGCTTATGTTGGATTCTCAGAAAGCTGTTGCAGCTGCAGAAGCAGAAGTTGCAGTGTATGAAGAGGAGGAGGTTCTCTCGAAAAAGGAACAGTACTGTCCATTAGTGGAACCACCTGCCAGCCCAAAGCAGCGTACGGCAGAGTATGAACAAAAACATTCAGGCATTAGTTTTAAAGGCTTCACATTGTCAGTAAATCCACTCGCCTGTCATAAGGCTGAACATGAACAGTGTGAACAAGCCATGAAAGAAGAAACGGACAATACCAGCTCACACAGAGCAAAAACAGCCAAGCCTAAAGAGGCACATATAGAACAACACAGAGAGAGACTATCCCCCCCCAAACTGTATCCTTTCCACACTCCTCAAACATCAACAGAGGCACAAGGTGTACAGGAGATTACCAAGTACCTCACACGGAGAGAAATGTTAAGTTCAGGACTTTCGCAGTTTGATGACCAACCAGAGAATTACTGGTCGTGGAAAATGTCATTTCAGAATGCTATTAAAGATTTGAACGTTAAAGCCCAAGAAGAACTAGATTTAATGGTTAAATGGCTGGGAGCTGAGTCTGGCGCCTTCAGTCCAACTGTAGGACTGGACCTTGTGTGGCAAAGACTGGAGGAATCTTATGGTTCTCCTGAAATAATCAAAAATGCACTGTTAAAAAAAAAAATACAAAATTGACTGAAAGTTTCCCAAACTCAACAACAGAGACAACATAAAGTTAAGAGACCTGGGTGACATTCTGCAGGAAATTGAATGTGCAAAAGATGGAGGATATTTACTAGGACTCTCATATTTGGACACAGCTTGTGGAGTAAATCCCATTGTGGAGAAGTTTCCCTATGGATTACAGGAAAAATGGATCGCAATAGGTGCAAAGTACAAGGAGGAACATAACGTTGCTTTTCCCCTTTCAGTGTTTTTTCAAGGTTTGTAAGACAACAAGCCAAAATAAAGAATGACCCAAGCTTTAATATCACACCTGCAGACACAAGCTTAAAAAAGGAGACAAGCGTCAAAGGCAATAACAGGCAAGTGATTACTGTACACAAAACAGACATCCCTATAGATGCTAGTTCATTTCAAACTAGTTACAGCTAATAGAAAGTCCTGACAAGGTTTGTCCTATACATAAAAAGCCTCATCCGCTTAAAAAATGTAACAGTTTCAGAGCAAAACCTATAGATGAGCACAAGTCATTCTTAAAAGAGAACAGAATCTGTTTTAAATGCTGTGGCTCTACCCAGCATCTAGTGAGGGACTGCAAGGTGCAAATAAAATGTATGGACTGTGGCAGCGACAGACATTTAGCAGTTCTACATCCAGGTCCACCCCCTGCTCCAGCTGAGAACTTTGAAACTGATAAAGATGACGGCGGGGAGACGACAGATAGTACAAATGTCTCAGTTGTTTCTAAGTGCACAGAAGTCTGTGGTGATGTAGAGATCCCACATTCTTGTTCAAAAATAAGTCCTGTGTTAGTCTACCCAGAAGGAAAAAGAGAACTGGCAAGAAAGATGTCTGCAGTGCTTGATGAACAAAGTAACAAGTCTCTAGCTAAGTCTCAGTGTTTTAGCTCTTTAGTATAAAAACACCCTCAGACACCTACAAGCTGAGGACATGCTCAGGACTGTCAGATAATGTTGGCAGAACGGCATTAAACTTCACAATTGAGTCAATAGATGGTAGAGTGAAGCTCCCACTTCCAAACCTCATTGAGTGTGACCTGATTCCAGACGACAGAAGAGAGATTCCGTCTCCACAAGTTGCTATGAAGTTCCCACACTCCTCCTGTAGAAGAACAGGTACCTATTCTTTTGCTCTTGGGAAGAGACATTATTCAGGTGCATAAGGTCAGAGAGAGAATTAACGGGCCCTATGCACAGCGTTTAGATTTAGGCTGGGTTATAGTTGGGGAAGCCTGCATTGGGAAGACACAAAGATCCTCTAATGCGAATGTGCTCAAAGCACATGTTCTTCAGAATGGCCGTCCCTCTTACCTCTCCCCATGCCCTAATCTGTTTCAAGTCAAGGAGTCAAGTGGTTGCAATTACCAACCCAGCAATACATCTGCCTTCCAAAAGGATGTTAAAAAAAACAGCTACAAATCAACTGGGAGAAACAGTGTTTGACAGAACAAAAGATGATGATAAACCAGCACTGTCAGTAGAGGATAAAGAGTTTATTGACATTATGGTAAAGGAGGTGTACCAGAATGAAGGAAATAGCTGGGTGGCATCTTTGCCATTCCGTTCTCCTAGACCACAGCTTCCAAGTAACAGAGAGCAAGCACTTAAACGTCTCCATTCCCTCAGAAAAACACTGGACCGGAAGCCTGAAATGAAGAGACAATATACAGAGTTCATCCAAAACATGCTGGACAATGATCACGCAGAGGTCGCTTTACCTTTGGACTCAGACAAAGAACACTGGTACTTACCATCTTTTGGCGTGTACCACCCACAAAAACCTAACCAGCTGAGAGTGGTTTTTGACTCAAGTGCAGAGTTTGAAGGACTGTCCCTTAACAAAGTTTTATTAAGGGGACCCGACCTAAATAACACTCTAATAGGCGTTCTAATGCGCTTTAGAAAAGAACCAGTAGCATTTTCAGCTGATGTGCAACAAATGTTTTACTGTTTTGAAGTGAGAGAGGACCATAGGGATTATTTAAGATTTCTTTGGTATGTGGATAATGATACCAACAAAAGCATTTGTGATTACCGAATGAAGGTTCATGTGTTCGGTAATAGTCCATCACCAGCTGTGGCTATTTACTGTATGAGACGCACCGCAGTTGAAGGAGAAGAAGAGTTTGGCCAGGAAACAAAGCATTTCATAATGAGACATTTTTATGTTGATGATGGTCTTTCATCCAAAGCAACAAAAGAAGAAGCCATTGAAATACTTACAAATGCACAAAGCATGCTGGCTCAGGCTAATTTGAAGCTACATAAAATAGCCTCTAATGATCAGAAAGTAGTAGAAGCATTTCCTGCTGCAGAAAGAGCCAAAGATCTAAAAGACTTGGATTTGGATGACATGCCCCTGCAAAGGAGCTTAGGGGTGCTGTGGAATCTCAAAAGGGATTGTTTCACCTTTCATGCCACAACTGAGAAAAAGCCATTCACCAAAAGAGGTGTCTTTGCCACTGTTAACAGTTTATATGACCCGTTAGGTTTTGTTTCACCCATCACAATGCAGGGAAAAGCTCTTCTCCGTGACCTATCCACAGAACAAAAAGACTGGGATGAATCACTTCCTGCAGAAGGAGAAGAGGAATGGGATAAATGGAGAAATTCTTTGAAGGATCTGGAGGAGCTACAAATACCAAGGTGCTACTTTTCATTCTCCCAGTCCATAGCTGCAAGGAGAGAACTATGTATATTTTCAGGTGCCTCCATCATGGCCATAGGAGCAGTCGCATACCTGAGAGCTCTCGACAATGAAGGTCAGTGGCACATAGGTTTCATCATTGGCAAGTCCAAAGTTGCCCCTCGACCCGCTCATACAGTTCCTAGGTTGGAATTATGCGCAGCAGTTTTAGCTGTAGAAATGTATGAACTCATTAGAGATGAGATGGACATTGAAGTGGACGCTGTCAGATTTTTCACAGATAGTAAAATCGTCCTTGGTTACATACATAACAGCTCAAAGAGATTCTATACCTATGTGGCCAACCGAGTGGCTCGAATCAGGAAGACCACTCATCCAGCACAGTGGTTTTACATATCCACTTTGGACAATCCAGCAGACACAGCCACAAGACCGATTTCAGCTTCCACATTAGCTTCCACAAACTGGTTTAGTGGCCCTTCCTTTTTGACATTACATGATATTGAGACATCTCGCTGTGATAGTTTTACTCTCATTGACCCTGAAACGGATGCAGAGATCAGGCATGATGTCAAAACCTTTGTTACCAAAACCTCAGTAACGCAGCTGGAACCATCTCGCTTTGAAAGATTTTCTCATTGGATGAGATTGTGTCGCACTATTGCATCACTAAAGCGTGTGGCAGCATCATTCAAGAAATCAGACACAAAAAGTAAAGGCTGGAAGTGTTTCAGCGACAGTAACACTGCAGGAGAAGTCTCTAAAGCAGCCAAGTTTATTATTCACACAGTACAAAGTGAAAAATTCAAAGAGGAGTTCAGGTGCATAAAAACAAATCAGCCACTTCCAAAGCAGAGTTGTCTCCAAAAGTTGAATCCTGTCATTGATGAGGAAGGACTTTTCAGAATAGGAGGTCGCTTGGCACCTGCTAACCTAACAAAAGAGGAGAAACATCCTATTGTTATTCCAAAGTCTCATCATATTTCTATCCTTCTTGTCAGATATTATCATGAGAAAGTGGCACATCAGGGACGTCACATAACAGAAGGAGCCCTCAGAGGAGCTGGATTTTGGATTATTGGAAGTAAAAGGCTTATTGCTTCCATCATTCACAAATGTGTCCTCTGCAGAAAACTTAGAGGAAAAATGCAAATTCAAAAGATGGCAGATTTACCCATTGACAGACTGTCAACCATGCCACCATTCACTAGTGTGGGGCTGGATGTTTTTGGGCCCTGGACAGTCTCTACACGTCGCACCAGAGGTGGGAGTGCTGAAAGCAAACGCTGGGCTGTACTTTTTACCTGCATGTCCACAAGAGCTGTGCACATTGAGCTGATTGAATCAATGTCAACATCAAGCTTTATTAATGCCCTAAGAAGATTCTTCTGCATCCGTGGACCTGCCCAAACGCTACGCTCTGACAGAGGGACAAACTTCATTGGAGCATGCAATGAACTGCAAATTGACCATAAAGACACAGAGCTGAACTCTTACCTGCTGGAGAAAGGATGCACATGGCTGTTCAACTCTCCTCACTCCTCACATATGGGTGGATCGTGGGAGCGACTCATCGGAGTGGCAAGGCGCATCCTGGACGGAATTCTTTTGAAAGCCAAACACATCCAACTCACACATGAAGTGTTAAGTACATTCATGGCCGAAGTGATGGCAATAATAAATGCAAGACCACTTGTACCAATTTCAACAGATCCGGATAAACCAAACCTCCTCACTCCAGCAATGCTTCTCACCCATAAGACGAATGCGCTATCTGCACCAGCGGGAAGCTTTGCATCTCCAGACTTATACTCAAAGCAATGGAAGCAAGTACAGTGTCTGGCAGACTCTTTTTGGAAACAGTGGAAAAGTGAGTACTTATCAACTTTGCAGAAACGCAGGAAATGGACTGACGATAAACCGAACATTAAAGTTGGTGACATTGTGTTACTGAAAGATGCTCTCGCTCACAGAAACAACTGGTCCATGGGAAAAGTTGTGAGAACATTTGAGAGCAAGGACAATAAGGTTCGGAAAGCAGAAGTAAAAACTGCAACAGACGGAAATGAAAAAGTGTTTTTGAGACCCGTTACTGATATGGTTTTGCTATTATCAGATGAAAGTTAAAGTGTTATAGCTATAAACGGTTCAAAATGTTTATGGAAAAGATTGCTGTAGTGGCACAATTGTATTGTACCAGGCGGGGAGTGTGCTGCCTCTTTGGTTGAAAAGTGCACTAGGGCACCCCCTGCTGGATAATGCACTGTATTATTTGGTGACGTTAAAAGAAGGTGTAGATCCAAGATGGTGGAATGCAGCACCAAACAATTTGGGAAATGAGCTGATTGATATCTTTCACGTTGTGTTTCAGACAAGATTTGTTCGTAAGTACCGTTTATTTGTGAAAACAACTGTTTCTTGTCTTTATGTAACTGAAGTGAATAATTGTACACTAGAGGTATTTATTGAACCTGATTTATTTAACTTGCAGCAAGAGTGATTGACTTTGTAATGTTTGTATGTTACAGTTACGATGGCTAAAGTGATGGCAGTGGTCAGAGGCCACTCTTCAATAAACAAGTAAAAAGAGAAAAGAAGTTTGGTTATTGGAGCGTCGTTGTCTGGCTGTCTAGCTTGCTGAAAAATTGGAAAACTCAGGGCGAGGACAGCACAGTTAGAGTGGCTCAGGTTATCCTGAGCTATCTCTATAGTTATGCTGCTATAGGCTTAGACTTTTGGAGGACATAGGGACCCCCATTTCATCATTCTGCTTCATTCTCTCTCTGTTATCCTATTCTGCAGAATCTGTTTGTTCAATCTCTAACCTTCTGCTCTCTCTGCTTTTCCTCAGAGTAGCTTTGCCTCGTCTGTTCCTGTTTGGCTGTGACGTCATCCTAGAAAGAAACTTCAGCTGTGCTGCTTCCATCAACACCCTTGTTTATAGATGTTAGAGATCGGCCTGTTTTCCAGTGTGGTCCTGTTTCTCTGACCGTGACTGAGTGGATGTGCTCTCTTCGTCCTCTGGCATGGGAGCTGCCTTGGAGCTTGTCTGCCTGGCTGTGTGTTTCCTGGATGGGGCCGCCTTTTACAGCTGCTTTTTGTATCTCTGCTTCTGTCTCCTTGAACCCCAGTCGGCCTCGGCAGATGGCCGCTCACACTGATCCTGGTTCTGCTGGAGGTTTCTTCCTGTTAAAAGGGAGTTTTTCCTCTCCACTGTCGCTACAAGCATGCTTAGTGTGAGGGATTGTATTTGAGTCAATGAGTCAATGCAATCAACTGGTTTTCCTTAGATAGAAAACTTTGTATCAATTTGACTGTATGATCTGGTTGAACTGTAAAGTGCCTTGAGATGACTTGTGTTGTGAATTTGGCGCTATATAAATAAACTGAATTTAATTTAATTGATTGTAGCAGCTAGAGGCTCAATGAAAATGGCAAAAAGTGAGGGGGGCATCCCTGCCTGGTGCCCTTCTGGAGACAAAAGCTGGAAGATGTTTGATTATTTGTCCTGACACATGCTGTTGGAAAGCTGTATAGGATTTTAACCAATTTATAAAGGAATTCCCAAAGCCACATTTATGTGGAGTAGCAAATACAATTTCCAGTTTACTCTATCAAATGCTTTTTCTGCATCTAAAGACAATATGTAGGATTTTATATTTTAACTGTACGAATAATCTATTAAATTCAGCAGTCTGCGTGTGTTAGCAGCTGACTGCTTTCCTTTAATGAACCCAGTTTGATCGGGGTGGATTATGAGAGGAGTGACTTTATCTAATCGTTTTGCTAAAGCTTTACAGATTTTTTTAATATTGACATTAATTAAGGATATTGGATGATAGCTGGTCGGAAACATAGGATCTTTGCCTGGCTTAAGCATGAGACTAATGGTGGCAGAATTCATATTAACTGGAAATTTGCCATTATCTTGAGTTTCCTGCAGCATTCTGTAGAACGTTGGTGTCAGAATGTTCCAGAACTCTTTATAGAGCTCAGTAGGGAGCCCCTTTGGACCTGGCATTTTTTATTTGGCATGTTTTTTAATGCTTCCTGAACTTTAACTGTTGACAGCGGTGACTCCAGGGTCAATCTTTGACTATCTGAGGATTTAGGAAGAGTTATTTCATCCAGAAATTGCTTGATGTCATTATCTGATAGATTTAACTGTGATGTGTTTATAGAAATCTCGGAAGGCATTGTTAATACCCTCACAGTCTTGGTTCATTTATGTTTTCTTTTGAGTATTCAGTTTAACTTCGCTCCATGTTTTCTAGTTTTCTTGGTTTAATTCTTATTTTGTTGTGTTTTCTGGTTACATTTCAGTTCTCAGGTTTTTATTTGTTGCCGTTTTGTGTTGGTCTCATTTTTCCCTAGCTCCTTAGACCACTCTCTTCACACCTGCTTCCAATCTGCTCATTAGTCCTCTCTTTGTTAAGTTAGCCATAAATATTCTCCTTGTGCAGTTCCTTAGAGCTGGTTCCTCGTCTAACTTCGTCCTACACCATCTTACAGTGTCGTACCTCGTCATGATTGGTTTTCCCTGAAGTCTCCATGGTTTCTGGTTTGTTTTACTTTTTTCTTGTCGGATTTTTGGATTGCTTCCTCAGTCGGTTGTTTATCTTTCATTAAATCTACAAAGACTCACCTCTGCCTCCCTGCCTCTGATTTGGGTCCTCAAACCACAACCAAATCCTGACAGAAGGAACCACCCAACATGGACCCAGCAGAGCCACCTATGGTACAGACAAGTGAATTTATAAAACTCCTGATTCAAGCAATAGACAATCTTTCCACAATCACTCCACCTTGGCAGCGGGTGGAGACTGCAGAGGAATTACTTAAGAGACTTAAACAATATCCAGAGCTCCGGACCTTCTTCCTTCAGGCAGGATACATAGCCTTAGTTGAGTGGAACATACAGTACGCCTTTGCTCAGCTATTCAGTAGACCTCCACCACCCAAACCATCACTCTGTGACATTCCCACGCAGTCTACCACCTCCCACCCTGTTCCTCCACTGTCTCCATGTCGGTCCTCCCCTGCCATCTGATTCCTCCTGGCGTAAGCACCGCCGGGAGAAGAAATCCACTCCCCCTCTGGCGGGTCAGCCTGATGCCTTCACTTCCTCTCCAGCAGATCAGCCTGACGCCTCCACTCCTTCTCCGGCAGGTCAGCCTGACGCTTCCACCCCCTCTCCAGCGGGTCAGCCTGTTGCCTCAACTTCCTCTCCGGCGGGTCAGCCTGACGCCTCCACCTTCTCTCTGGTAGATCAGCCTGATGCCACCACTCCCATGGATCAGCCAGCCGATAGCCTTAGCTCACCTCCTAAACAGGTCAGATTTCCCCATAGTCTCAGTCGTCACCTCCATGACCAACAGCTAACCCCATCTTTAAATAGACTCAGACCAGTTTCCTTTATTACACCCCCACATTCAGAGCTCCCCAAATTGAGGAATCTCAGTTATGGAACTTCTTTTATTGGAAAGGGAGGATCTATTCCCTCTCCTTTCACCTCCATCAACTCCCTGCCAGCCAGCACTCCCTGAGTCAGATCCAGAACCAGGGCCCCTTAGCGGGCTAGAACCCGAGCCAGGGCCCATTAGCGGGCCAGAACCCGAGCCAGGGCCCATTAGCGGGCCAGAACCCAAGCCAGGGCCCTTTAGTGGGCCAGAACCCCCAGCGCCAGAGCCCATAAGTGGGCCAGAACCCCCAGCGCCAGAGCCCATTAGCGGGCCAGAACCCCCAGTGCCAGAGCCCATTAGCGGGCCAGAATCCGAGTCAGGGCCCATTTGCGAGCTAAATCCAGAGCCCATTAGTAAGCTAGAGACCCCTGAGCGAGCTGTGTGCCGTCAAGAGACCCCCGAGCACACTAATGAAATTGTCTCAGATTTGAAGCTCGGTGGGAGTTAATCTCCAAGGCCCCTCAGTAGGCGCTCCAAGCCTAAGAGCCCTCAGCGGGCGCTCCAAGCCTCTAAGAGCCCTCAAGAGGACGCTCCTCGCCCCCTCCGTGGTTCCTGAGCCGCAGTTGGCGGCAGGATGGGCCAGAAAGGTCGGCCGTTTAAATGGGGGATTGTCACCTAATACCTGAAACCTGTCTATCTATGTGTTATATAGACAGGTTTCAGGTATTACAGGTGACAATCCCCCCTCTAACGACCGACCTCTCACAATCAGACAGCTTGCAGATATTACAGGCTAACAATGGAAACAAATGACCCGCTCGTCAGTTTCAATTAGAAACTGAGAATCTTGTCTTAAAGTAAAATCCTGCATTGAAATATTCTGGTGATAAGACATTTTTAAAACTATTATTGAGATTTTTATACATTAATCTCCAGGAACCATTCAGTCCTTAAGTTTAACAGCCTTTTGTTTGTTGAAGGTAAATCATTACCTTAGACTTCCATGATAAAGTTTTTCATTATGTTATCATTTTAAATAATGTGTCTTTGACAATTTCTTTTTTCAATTTGCATGAATTTTGCTTTCAGAAAGGATAATCTACTGGATATTTGTATTCAGCTTCTCTCTTGCTATTAAAAGTGCCATGCGTCAGATGTTTTATGAGTTTATGTCTCATATTCTCAGGATTTCAGTATTGGCCATAGCTTATTAGAAACTTCATCCCAGCTAAAGCATTCCAAGCTCTGAAAAGGTTTGTATATGACATTATTATCCTTTTAACAGATTGAAAGCTGTTCGGGGAAGCACATAGCATGCTGTATGTTGCAGCTTGTTAGAGTGAAGAGTTGGTGATTTTGGTCAAGTTGGAGCTCACCTGCTGAGCTCTGCACTATATTCTTTGTAACATTGTGTTGATGATAAACCTAAGTGCAAGCAGGAAGATAGAATGTTGGCCTAGTGGTTAGAGTAGTGCGCTTGTGCTCTGAGAGGGCTGCAAGTACCTGGTTCAATCCCCATAGCCTGCAGTCCTAATCCCTGAGCAAGACCCTTAACCCCCACATTGCTCTTAACCCCTACAGTACACTGCTCTCCGGTGCTGCACAGTTGCAGGCCACTGCTCCTAAGGGGATGGGTTAAATGCAGAGGTGAATTTCTCCTCTGTGAGATTAATAAAGTTCAATTATAAAATCATGAATGAGCATAGTGAACGAATTACAACAGAAACCTTACTGGAATAAGTGGATAAAAAGGAATAGATTATTGTAATATAAATTATAACAATCAGAGAGCTAGAATGGAATGAAATTGTGGAGAATGCCATTTGATGCAGATTAGTTAATCAGGAAATTACGAAGAGCAGCTGAGAATGAAACAGAAAAGCTGAGAGAGCTGGTCTAAGAAACAACTAAGCAAGACAGTCTAGAAGGCATTCTAACCTTGGCACCCCACAAAGTGCATTAGTGTCCAAAGAGCAACGCCTCCTCCTGGTGGCTGTATTCTTTATAGCACATTAGGTCATTGAGAAAAAAGATATACGTTTATAAAAAAAATAGTTTCCATATATTTCAGTCTGTACATATGCGCACTAACCTCATATATAATTGCAGTTTATTGCATTAAAGGCTAAAAAAATGTCACCTTTTACTGACTAATACGTACTTTTTATTACTTTTACTCCAAGTGTAAACACATGGAGTAAACTGTTCCTTAGAGGTATAGAGGACAATATTTTATTTC